TGTTATGAAGCATGCTACATATGTGTTTTGACATGTTCGTGGTTCTAGTGTATCCATGCATGTTCATAGACCTTAGGATCGATTGCATGATCAATTGGTTGCATGTTCTTGAATGTTTGAATGCATTTTTTGCATTTTCCAGAAAACGGATCGATATCTTGCCCCATATTGATTGATCCCTTTAGGCAAAGGATCAATCCCTCCCCTATAGGATCGATCCTAACTCAATTGAGTTATTGTTTATCAAAGAATCAATTCCCCTTAAAAGAGATCGATCCCTTGAAGTTTAAAATGAGAAAATTGGTAAAATTAATTTATTTAAAGACCTTAAGTGCTCCCTAAGTCCTATGGTGGTCCTAGAACCTTAAAATATTTCAATTTGGTCCATAAACTTGATTTTATAATTAAATTTTGGTTTCAAGTCATATTTGGTTGAAATTTTTTCGATAACTCTATAATAACACTAATTTTATAATGGAACCTTCAATTTTATGTTTTGTTTTATTTGCATGTTTTTAAAAGTTTATGTTTTAGTCCCTAAAATGAGCATTTTCAATTAGGTCCCTAAATAAAGTTCAATTAAACTGAAATTTTGAATGGACTAATTAAAGGCTAATAATGAATCTTGTTAAGGTTAATTTGTGTTTTTAATTGATTTCATGATGATGTATAAAATGATTATTTTACCCTTATACTGTTTAATGCGATTAATTTATGGCGCATGATTGTCTAATTTTTAGGACATGCTGATTGATGTTTCGTTGTAATATTTCGCATGATAAATGATCATTTGAAATTTTGGTTTAACTTAGGATGTGTGATTAGGGTTTGAATTATCCAATTCGCTTCAGAATATAATATGTACTCAAATTATTGAAGTCATCCTACGTGTTCGAATATAAGATGTTGCAATGTTTAAATGCAAGCCCAAAACAAAATCTATAGTAACAGTCGACCATTTAAACTTTGGTATTTTAACCGATTTGGGCAAACTTGAAGGACATTGGTGTTCAAACATCACTATCTGAAGAAGAAGAAAATCATGCACTTATACACAAAATTAATTCCATCTCGAAACATTACAATTTAATCTTTAAATTTTCTAGAATTCAAAATTTGACCCTCATACTTCAAGATTTCATAAAAGATTACTCTAAAACTTCAAAATTTTCCAATTAATTCAAGAGTTCCTAAATTATATAGTTTATCTATTGATTTCTAAATGTTCTCAATCATGCCCTTAAATTCCATTTAAATCGAAGTTAAATCCTTGATTACCATGACAAAAATTCTTAACCCTAATTTTGGTGCATGACATTAACACCAAGGATATGCCTCGTCTCTTAGTAAGGGCATTGCGACCATCAGTTCTACTCAAGCATGTAGTTCATATCACAAATTAGAGATAGAGGACCCCTAAATTCATAGATTAAATTCAATTCAACTCTACCAGCAGTTACGCCTCAACATTATCGGAATAACACCTCAACCAACATCTTTCCATTCAGCGACTTGTTAACCTTACTCTAAAGGGAGGCGGCGGCACCAGCCCCTTAGGCTGGTTGCTGGCCGCCGATCTTTTGCTTTCTTTTCTTTTATCTTTTTTCATTTTATTAAGTATGTCTTTTAGCTTCTAGGACAGTGGTGGAGGCGGCCACCGACTCGCGATAGAGGTCGTTCCCGTCTTCGAAAGAGGATGAATGTACGGTGGTTTGTCTCTTGTATATGTGTTGTTGTTCGTCGCTGGTGTTACCTCTTCTTCGTCTTTTTGCTTGAATTGAGTGAGTGGTTTGCTTGTATGGTCTAAAATATATCTTAAACCCTAAAATTTTTTGGGGGTATTGGGCATTGGGTTCAGAGAAGCATGGTTTGGAATAAATTGTACATTGCTGTCTGCCGCAGTCATTACCTCTCCTCCGTCTTCCAGGTATTTCTATCTGCTGAAGATTATCCTTATTATTGAAATTCATTATTCGGTGCTGGTAGACCATGGGGCTTAGCTTGTTTTGTGTGAGGGGCTAGATCTTATCGTATGGGTTTGCTGGAGTCGAACACGGTATTTGGGTTGCTGGTATCGCTGTAGAAGATTAATTCTTGGTTTTGTTGTTGGTTTATCTTATTGATTGGGTTGTCAGGAATGCTTCTATTCATTCTTTTATGTATGTCTAAATCCATGGAGAGAGCGTCAGGAAGAAATTGTGAAGTGAAAAATCCTTCTACGGTTCCTTAGTGTTGGTCGTTTTTGCCAACCACGTTAGTAAAATATATCATTCGACAAGCCTTAAGGATGCGTGTTCATTTGTTTGGAGATGGTTTTTTTGTGTTCATAGTGTATAGAAGCATATTAATGAATTTCAGCCGGGTCTTATGCTTTTCTTGTGCTTTGGTGATCTGCCGCGTTTTGAATGTTTGTTGTTGCTGCAGTTGTCTTTTGTTTGCTTGGGCTAGATAGTTGTTCTTTGGTGTTGCTATTTGTTGCTGTCCACTGGTTGTTTCTGTGTTTTGTGTAATGCATTGTGTGTTCTTTGATGGTTCTCCGGCCGGTGGTGGAGTGGTGATTTCAACAGTTGTTAGTGTTGAGTTTGTTTCCTAGGTTGGAGGAGGGTTCTGCTGCAGATGTTGGTTTCGAGGTGAAGAAGATTGGTTCAATGAATCACTAAACAGAATAATGAAGATGGTGCTCTGAAAAGCTGGTTTCCGCATGTAGTTCCTGTTGTGGAAAATGAGGTGGATGTTGGTAATTGTTTATTGGACGTGCCCATAGTGTCGTATTTCGAGGTTGAAGGTTTTTGTTTATTGGATTAGGGTCAGTAAGTGAGTTTGTATTTCTTAGTGCGTGTGGTGCGTGCCTGTCAGGTCTTGTCTGAGGTATAAGGTCTTTGATCGTTGGGGTTTGTTGTGGTATTTTAGAGGAGCTGGAGTTGTGGTTTTAATTGTATTTTAGTGTTAGGTTTGTAGTTAGATTGTTTTTTTGGTCAGTCTGAGTTACTGTGGGTTCAAAGATCATTGTTTTTTTACGCAGTAGGAGTGTGGTTGGACTAGATTTGCTAATTCAATTGGCCCTCAAGAGTTGTTTGTTTGGATAGAGTGTAAGCTGTAGAATCGCTGGCTCCTTCCAAACATTTGCTTTGTTTGGAGAAGCAGTGTTTTTCTATGTGTTAAGCGTTGTTTTGGTTTAGGCCAGGACTTGATGTCATTTTAGTTCTGATTTGAAGAAACCTAAGTGGAGGAATGTCTTGTCTGATTTTGGCAGTCTCTTTGGAGCTTTTTAAGGAACCGATTCTTGTTCTGCTAGTCCAATTCAGTTCTTCTGGTCTGCTTTTGATCTGCATGTTCTATTGCTTTAGAGGTTGTAGTGAGATTTCCAGCTCTTGTATCAGTGTTTTAGCAGGTGTGGTGACTATGGTTTCGGCTGCTGTTTCGGATTCCTCCCATTGTTGTGTCTGTTGTAGATCAGTTTTTGATGTGTGTTGTTCTAACTTCTTATTGCTGTATGGTTTATTATGGTGCTTGTTAACGTGGGCTGTGGTTGGGGAGGTTTTTTTTCCTCCATTTCTTATTGTTTGCATTTATCTAATACAAAGTACCCTCTTAAAAAAAAATCAAAAAAAAAAAAAACCATGTAGTTCATATCTATCAGAATCTTTCTATAGCCTCCATTGAGTACCTGACCAGGGGTGTATCTAGGGGTGGGCCTACCTAGGCCATGGCCCCCCATGCTCCAAAATATTAAATATATATAATTTATTATTAAACATTTATAATTTAAATAAAAGCATGTATAAATTATTTTTAAAAAAATTATATTGGTTTAGTTGATATATTTGTCTAGATTCACTTTAAATATATAGTTATCACATTTTTAAATTAAAAAATATATACAAATTATGTTAGATAAATTTTTAGGTATAATGTCAAAATTAGTTCCCAATATTTATAAAAAATGATCATTTTGACATCTATTCTATTTTTTTAATATATTAGCTCTCAACCTTTTATTTTACGGTAAAAAAGATTCTAATGTTTAGTTGAATAGTCATTTTGACTCTTATTTTTTTAAAAGATTTAGGCTTTCAATATTTCATTTTAGGGTAAAAAGGAACTTTAATTTAGAACGTTAACCGTTTGTTAACCAATGGTTTCCATCAACGAATGGATATTTTTAACTTAAAACTAAAATTTTGAAGGTTAATTTTAATATTGAATGATTTTTATTATATTTATATTGGCTCACCCAATAATTTTTTTCTGCATTCTCCACTGTGCCTGAATATGGTCGGAAAGTCCCAATAACTCCTTAGGACAGTTCAACTTTGTTAAGTGAAGTCTCTCAGTCAAACATATCAGTATCAAACGTTCCTGACTAAGCTTCAAAACAATCTCTCAACATAACATGGATGTTCTTGATTCTCGGTAACCGATGTAGGTGTATCATGTTTAGGAGTAAGATGATACCCTCTTAGAGCAAGGTGATCTTCTCAAGGTTCTAGTGATTTTTCCCTCAGACAACTTTACGACTATGGGTGTTTATTTTGAAATCCCAAACTAATAATGACAATTTTTTTTAAATTAGTTTAAGAATTTTTCTTATTCACCCATAAATTACATAATAAAATTAAGGAGCAAGATGATCCCCTCTTAGAGGAAGATTGACGAGTGTTATAACATTGCACGAATTTAAAACTAATAAAAATTAAATTACGCATCCAAAAACAACCCAAAACCTGATTTCGTAAGCTGTGAGATGTAGATTAAGTTTCTTCCACAAGTAAGGCAAAAAAACTCGGTCAATCAAATTGTTCATTACCTTTGCATTGCCCAAGTCATTCCCTTGTCACCGCTTATTTCGATCCTCCACCTCTCTCTTCTTTCAAATCATTCATTATCATAAATATTCTTCGTGAAATCACTGCTTTCATTTTGAATATTTCCTTTCATATATTTGAAGATAAAAGAAAAAAAACACAAGACAAAAACGATCAAAGACCGAAAGAACGGAGATGGCGAAGCATGTTATTGTTGTTGTTCTTGTTTTCATATCTATCATTGAGGCAAATTCTTCTGATGTATCACCGTCACCAGCTCCTTCTTCGTCTCCATCTTCAGCCCCTGCTCCAGATCGTAAGTCGTCTGCCGGTGCCCAATCTCCGTCCCATATCTCCCCTGAAGGTGATTCTGATACTGAGGGCCCGAGCGAGGGCACTGAGGAAAGCGGCGAAGGACATGGTGTTGAAACTCCTAATGAACCTTCTCCTTCACCGGACGATGACGATGACGATCAAAGTGATTACACCGAATAATTCAACAGATTAGAGCCAGTTAAATCTACCAAATAGTAAATTTTTTTCTTTTAATAATATTTTTATTTTTTGCATTTACATAAATCACAGTCCTATAAGTTGCTCATGTTACCTAGAGAATTCAGTTCTTTTTAATGATTAGTCGGTGTTCATGGTAATTCCACATTGCTTTCTCCTTTGTAATGGAGAATTTGTATTCTATTTCTCAACAAAAAGATCATACCATAACTATATCCACTAGGTCAATTGAAATTTTTCCTATCCCTCTAGTATTTCAACAAAAAAACATTGAATGTTAGGTTGAAAGACAGAGTCAGTTAAATTGAGGGAAAGATTAAAGTCTTAAATGCATTATTGTCTTCTAAAGTATATCATTTGTATCAGTTGTCTCCTAAAATATTTTTCAGGACATTTATTCCTCTAAAATTTAAATCGTGACCTTATTTTTCTCAATCTGTTAACTCCGTTAAAAAACACGTGGGTAAATTACATATTTAGTCACTCAACTATTTATGCGGTTCTATTTTGGCCAATCAACTATTTTGTTTTCAAAATAATCTCTAAACTTAAATTTTATTTCATTTTGGTCACCCAATTTGGTATGATTTATTTTTTAAAAATTTACAATATATAAGAATTCATTTATATCAGATATATTTTTACTCGACACATAAATTTAATGTATAATAATAAATAATATTATATTGTAAATAATAAATAATATATTTAGTTATTTGTACTTAAAAGTTTAATAAAAGAAATATTATAGAATAGGTCTATTTCTCTATAAACATAATCTTCTATTTTTGTTTCTCTTGATTTCTCTGTTCTAATTAATTAAATTGAATTAATTTTCATGTTCCCTGTAACATAAAGTTTCTTCATATTTCTGGATTAGAATAATTTATGTGTCGAGTAAAAATAAATAAATCTAATTAAATTTGGTGACCAAATCGAAATAAAATTTCAGTTTAGTGATGATTTTGAAAACAAAAATAATTAACTAACCAAAATAGAATCACATGAATAGTTGAGTGACTAAATATGTAATTTACCTATGTGTTTTTTAGCAAAATTAACGATTTAAATTGAGGTAATTATTTAAACTTTAGGTAATGATTTAAACTTTAGAGAAGATAACAATTTAAACTTTAGAGAGTAAGTCAGTACAAATAATATACTTTTGAGGGTAATAGTGCATTTAAGTCAAGATTAAATTGTTTAATATTAAAAAAGACTCCGAATGTTAATAAAAAAAAACATCAAATCTTTATTCATTCTCCAATAGTCTCCCCCACCTCCCCTATAGATAGCACTAGATTTAGAATTCGTAAAAAACTCAAAATTTAATTTCATAAATATTTAAAATAACATGAAATAAAAATATGATTCTCTTTATTCAAATAAAATTATCACAGTTACTATTTTTTGTTTAAAATTTTTATAATTTAAATATTTAATTATTAAGTTATTCAAATTTTATAATTAATATATTTAAAAATGACTTCATTAATATATTTTGAAACATATTTTTATAATTTATGAATAATATATTTAACATAGCATGAAATTAAAATTTAAAAAATTTAACCACTAAAATTAAAATATGATAAATTTATAAGACCGAGAAAATATTAGAAAAATTAAAACCAAAAGAACCCTTTACTAATTCTGTGACTGACCAAGTTTTTTGTTATTAATCTCGAACTATTGTATGCAAAAGAGTATAAAAAATACCTATTTTAATGAAAGTATAGTCCAATGAAAGGAAACTAAATTAATTTTTTCTCAATAAAAGTATTAAGTATATTGATTAAAAATTTAAATTATGTGCCTCGTTAATAATTTTCTTAAACCTAAATGGAAGAAAAGAGTACACATAATAAAGAGTACACATAATAAAGAGAGTGAAATAAGGCAAGTGAAATACAACAAACACGAACAACAGTCCTAAGAAGTCCGAATTCTAATGAACTGAAAACGAACTAACACAATGTCATCCAAACATGCAAATCACCATATTTGAACAATAAATAAACATGTTGAAACATAATTAACCCAATGCACCACCGCTAACCCGAACTAGCGATGGAACATCGTCCAACCTAGGTCAGTCAGCCACAAAGCACTCTTCCACAACAATTATAATAAAGATGCAGCACATCGAAAGCAATGCACAATCGCAGCCCAGGAACACAATCGATGAAAGAACAACTAACCACAATCGTTGAGCCACTAAAAATACAACACTTACAGCGTGCCAAACAGAACCAAGTCAAAAGTACAAGCGTGGATCTTCCAAACAACACAGAAACTAAATCACCAGACCCATACATACACTTCTAAGTTATCCCAACATCTTACCACCAAACTTTGAATAACTCCTGCCTGCGGACTCCATCCCAACTTCGTGAGACATGTCTATACTGAATTTTTTTCAATCCTCTTGGCAAGTCTGTCAATTTCCCAAAAAAACTGACCACCAGAGCCACGGACACAATAAAGGATTGTTGATCCAATTCAACACGACTCTAGACTCTAATTCCACTTGTAATACTGTCCTCCTAGCCATCCTGCATCGATAAACGTTGTTAAAGATTTTTTAATTGTCAATACAGTAGCTGACTCCGTGTTGCTGCCAATGGACGATCATGTAAATAGTGCTCAGATTGTTCCTTCGCCGTGATCAAGTAACCCCTCTATCCTTAAAACATCATCGATGGCAATTCCAAACTCTTTGAACCTAACACACTTTAACAATTGTGAATATAAAATAAATGCCTTTAATTTAGAGTAAAAAGCAGGGTTATCCCACTATCCATCAAAGTTCACCAAACACTCATCCTTTGATGCTTTGATCCAAATTAATGCCTTTAATTTAGAGTTAAAAAGGTTATCATCAATGTTTGAAGATTTCCCATTGAAAACCTTACCATTACGAACGAGTCAGCAGCTCCACAATGCAGCTGCAATTGAAATGAACCACTAGCACCTCAAAATCCATGTAAACGAAGTTTCAAAACAAAACGAGTACAACTTTGAAACAATATGAATATTTGGCCAGTTAACTTTCCACCACTTGCAGAATAATATCCATAAATTCCTTATAAACTAACAACCAACAAAAAGATGATTCACATCTTCCAGTGCAGCATCGCACCAGCTACACTTATTACATTCACCACCCACTCCCCTTGAATGAATAAAAACCTTTGTCGGGATTCTATCTATCTTTAACATCCACAAGAAGCTTTTCACCCTTGGAGGAACTTTCAACTTTCAGATCCTTCCAAACTTTAAACAAGGATCATCAAACTTCACTCTGATAATCAGTTGTAATAACCTCTTAACCGTGAACTGACCACCTTTTTCATGTATCCAATTTATTATATCTGGTGAAGACTCGGTCAATTTAGTTTCTGCAAACAATAAGTGAGCTCCCTCTAACTGCTTTTTTCTCGATCAAATAAAGATCTAGAAAAATAAAAAGCACCACTACACTACATTGAATCCTCCACAGCCAATAACTGAGGCTACCAAGACCCCCTTCACACTGGAGATTCTAAATAGCCGATCTTAAAGGATCCTTAAGGGTATATCCCCACACCACCAATCTTCCAGAAACAAGGTCATTTTTCCATCGCTCAACTGCCATCGAAAAGCCTCAAAATTCATCCATCTAGATACATCCTCGTTTTTCTAGTTAGTCACAATTCCTTTCCAAACCAGTGATAATTTCCTCTATTTTATCGTATTCAATAACCAACTCCAGTTCGAACTAACATATTTAGAATTAATCACCTTTCTCCAAAGAGCTGAATTATCAATCATATACCGCCATCCCCATTTTGTTAGTAGAGCCCCACTATTTGCACGGAGATTAATAACGCCCTCACCTTCAATATTCTGAGGTAGACATAATCTACTCCAGCAAACACGAGCTAATGTTTTTTACCATTGACACTCCCTCATAAGAATGCTCTTCTAACTTTATCAATTATATTTAAAACTATTTTTTTATATGAAAAGGGAGGCCTCATTAAAAACCCCCTTTACAACCGAGGCACCCTTAGTGTACCGATGCATTAAATCTTATAACGGTCGAAATATTTGAATTTTACACATAGTGTACCGATGCACCTTGGCTATGCATCGATGCACCCCACGCTCACACCAGATTTTTAAATAATAATTATACAATAACGGCTCTATTGCCTTCACCAATGATCCCCAACGTTCAAAAGTGATTCAAGGTGTATTTAAACAAGCTTAGGAGCCATTGATCAATAAACATTAAGAAGAGAAGCTATAAAATCAAAGAGAAAGCATCAAATCTCAAGTTTGAGCACTTTCAAGCCTATTTCATTCAATATTCATTTTTTCTTTCAAGAACACTACTTGTACTCAATTATATTCATTCTTGAGTGTTCTTTCTTTGTTCTAGAATTGTGCAAACATATTGCCTTGTGAGGTTTTCTTGCAAGTTTGCAAATTTGTGTATTTCTCTTTGGGAGAGAGTGTTCTCAAGAATTTGTGGTATAATTCTTGAAGGAGTTGTAAAGTTACACTTTGTCCTAAAAAGAAAGAATAAGTTTGCAAATTTGTGTATTTCTCTTTGGGAGAGAGTGTTCTCAAGAATTTGTGGTATAATTCTTGAAGGAGTTGTAAAGTTACACTTTGTCCTAAAAGGAAAGAACAAATTAGTGAATATATTGGAAAATCCTTAGTGTGGATAGCTAAGGTAGTGGACGAAAACTTTAGTTGAGAAAGTCGAACCACTCTAAATCGCTGTGCAAATATTTTCTATTTTCTTCAAAAGCTTCCACCAAAATTTTAATTGTCAATTCACCCCCTCTTGGCTATTTTGTAGATCGATTAACTCAACAATTGGTATCAGAGCCTCACTCATTTGAATGTTTAACCTCTTGAGTCGATTCAGGAAGAGTTACATCGATAATCAAGTCATCAATGACCTCTACTTCAAACTTCGAATTTGGTCT